AGATAGATAGATAGATAGATAGATAGATAGATAGATAGATAGATAGATAGATAGATAGATAGATAGATAGATAGATAGATAGATAGATAGATGTTGATTTAGTTTAGGTTTGTTTAGCACCAAGCAGTTATTTGATTTTGCACTATTTCCTTAACTGAAGAACATCCGTGTTTGTTTCATTGCATAACCGGCGGCCTCACAGGGCATCTTATCTGTCAGTGGTTATGTCTCACTTCTCGCATTGCTTTTGCTAAGATTCAAAAACCCTATGTTTATTTGTTATCTTAGCTGTTTTGACTCTTTTTACTCTTCATATTATTTTACGATTAGCCCAGCAGAACCAGCAGCTAACAGTGATCAGTGTAGCAACATTCTTCAGCCTAGCAACAAAAAAAAAAAAAAAAAACACTTACAGTATGTATGAGTGACTCTATGTAACCAAAAAAAAAAAAGAAAGAAATCCAGAAATAAGCATCTGTTGATCTGCAATGAAGAGGGCCCATTATGAGTAAATGTTAGTTTGGTTTGTGGTCTTTCCCACTTCCTGCTTCTCCAAATTGAGAAGTCGCTGTGGTCAGGAAGACAGCTTGTGTTTTTTACACAACTCTACTTAAAAGTCAGCAATGATGTACTTGTGAAATATAAAAGTAACAAACAAAAGACAAAGTACTTCATAAGTATTTGGTCACATGAACAAATCAAAATCACTAACAGCTGCTTTCAAAATGGGACTGAGGGACTCATGAATGGTTTGATGAGTGTGAAAATTATATGCTGTTCACATCTGCTCTCCAACGTTAAAATAAAAGCACTTGAGAAAAACATTTATAGAGTTTTATGAGTAATCTTCCCTCATTTTTACGTTTTATTTGGAAATAAACRAACATGTTTGCCGTGCAAAAGAGAAATTTGATTGGAGGACTAAGTGCATTATTTAAACACAAATATAAAACCTGAATTTCTTTGTTCGTTTGTCTGTGATCTTCTCTCAACCAATAAATAGTGAACTAAGTCTGATGTGTGAAGTGGTATTGTGCTGCGCCACAAATAGTACTGGAAACTCACACAAAGTCACAGCTATCTGTTTTTTTCTGTGGTTGTCTGCCTGTGAAGGGTCTTCTTTGGGCTGGCAAAAAAAAAACTTTACTCACTCGAACAAAATTATCAGGGAAAAGCCCCCTGCGTCCTCCCAGCTCGCCCTCCCACCAGCCTCCATCATCTCGCCGTATGTTCCTGATGATGTCGCCCACAGTCAGGGTCAACTCATCTTCCTGCTGAGCCTCATAGTCGAACTCCACCACGGCCTCCACTAGACAAAAAGAGAGAGAGAGGCAGTGTTAGCCACAGAAGAGTCAAACACCTCTACACCAACAATGTTTAGCAGGTAATGATTACACAGCTTTTGTTAACTGATTTAGAAGAAAGTGCAAAAACAAAATGCATGCAAACCACTGATAATATTAGATCAGTGTCGGAAAATCTGCTATAAGAGTTCCCATAAGAGGGTTCTTGCAAGTTTTAAACACTTCAAAAACGGGCAGTGTTTCCTCTTTTTGCCTTTGCATGAGTTGTTCCTATTTTCACAAAGTTAGTCTATAAAGTATCTGCCTTTACCACGATTATTGTGCTTTAAATAAGACTTTTTAGATGCTAAACATATCCGGCATCATTATTGCAACTGTAGCAAATAGTGAGAGGTCTTTCAAAGAAGAACTTTAAAAAGTGTGCTTTTGAATTAGAAAAAAAAATTGTCATGTCATTTGCAAAGAGGGCAGCAGCATGGTGACACCTCTCAGCAAGAAGMTTGCAGTGTCATCTATCGGTCTTGGGCCTTTCTGGGTGGAGTTCCTCTCATACATGCATTGGTTTTCACTAAGTACTTCAGTTTCTTCCCACATACATGTTAGGTTTATTGGTGACTCTAAATTATCCCTAAGTGTGAATGGTTGTTTGTGTAGTTTTTCTGTCCCTGTCCAGGGTGTCCCCTGCCTCTTGCAGAGTGGCTGCTGAATAAATATCAGCTCACCACAACTCGGAAAGYAGAAGCAGGTYAYGAAAACGGATGGATAGATGGATGGGCTGCAAATAAAGCAYCTGTAGCATTAGCATCTAGCTAGCATTAGCTTATCTTCATAGCTTTATTTACAAGACTGACGTTTTTGCAAATACACATCATGCTATCAAAAATTATCATGTATGTCAAGTAATGATGTTCAAATACTTTACTTGGGTAGAAATTTTGGTTATTTATGCTTTACTGGAGCAATTTTTTTTCAGCCAACTTTTTCCTTCTACATTTTCACGCAATTATCTGTACTTTCTACTTTAAAAACGCAAGTAATTCATTTATATTTTTATTTTGTCTGGTAATCATAAAAAAATCTAATAAAAAATAAACTGTCCAGATATGCTGCACTTCCTGGATAGAYTGAAATCAATTGCGGTTGGATGAGAAGTATGTATCATTCTGGCACTGTATTGGTTTGTATGCAATCTCTTCAAACTAGTAAATTACTCCACAAAGGTTTTTAAGATGTTCTCAAAAACAGTTTAATAATAATAATAAACAGTAACACTTAATTGTATAT